GAGAGGAGGGGGGGCAGCGAGGAGCGAGATTTTTTTAAGACCCCACAGCCAGCAATCAACCATCCCCAACTCAATGAACACGTTGGCATGGAACAAAAGACATTTCAACCCCTCGGTAGGTACCCCCCCCCCCCCCCCCTCCACATGAATCACCCTAGGTAGCCCTCGCCGTGACAAAGGCGATATACGACCCCTCGCGCTCGTCGTCGGCTACAATACCGTCAGCTCAGAAAAAAGACACGCCTCTCAATGGCCACCAAAAGCGCCAATCCGAGCACTCAATTTCTCGCGACCGCTTTTGATAACCATCTTCCATCACGGGAGAAAGAGTAACACGCTCCGCCAAAGAGACCCGCGCTCGTCAACAGTCCCGCTGCAAGCACCCATCCTATCTGGCCGCATCCCTCACCCTTGACAGAGATGAAGTTGGCCTGGCACTCGTTGGCCACGGCCTTCGCCATGAGAGTCTTCCCGCACCCGGGGGGCCCGTAGAATAGCACCCCTCTGGAGGGGGACATGCCGAACTTCTCGAACTTCTCGGGGTGCTCCACCGGGTACTGCACCAGCTCCTGAAGCTCGCGCTTGACGCCCTGCAAGTACAGTATAGGTTGTTTCGTGGGGATTCGATAGTTGGGTATCAGGCGAGTTTTTGAAGGGGAGCAATAGGGCTTGACACCCACCAAAATTGTTTGTCGATACGTGTGTGGTGGGGTTTCTCGATAGTTCAGTATTCCAGTCGAGTTTTCGAAGGGAAGCAATGACGGCGAGAGTTGGTGGACGCCACGTGATGATGACAATTTTCGGTCAAGGTGCCGCTGTCTAATTCCCAGCGAGGATAATGGGCGCGACGTGATGATGACAATTATCAGTTTGAATGTGTGTTTATTCCCAGGAAAAAAAAAAGCATCAATGCTTGTGGAACACCGAGCGTCTTACCCTCGCGCGAGGAGGTAGGTCCCTTCACACACCAATCACCCGCTCCTGCCAAACAATTTCGAGCAAAAGCAATACACCCGAGCCAGTGGCACACCCCGACCTCCACTCGTTCGGTCAAACCAACCCACATAATTTTACTGCGGACAATCCAACCCACACGTCTGGCCCGGGCATGTAAGGCACACATTCCCGGGATACATAAAATCCACATCCAAATACTGCTGCCTCGTACAACCAGCTCCACAAAAACAACCTAAACCGGTGCCAACCACATGGGCTAAGCTCGAACTCCACCACATCGTTCCTCACCGCAAGACCTCCGATGTCGTTCCACGTGACCGTCGGCACCTCCACCACCGTCTCCCTGAGCGAGGAAGGGTTGGACACTCCGAGGGAGAAACGGAAGTGGTCCATGCTCACGGCCATCGCGTCCAGAACCTCGGCGTCGATCGTCTCCTCCTGCAACAAGAGACACCAAAAAAAAGAGGGAGAGAGAGAGGAGAATCGGACCAAAGATTCAAAGATTCCGGTGGTAGAGGGGGTAAGAGAGGGTGCGGTGGTCGAGACGGAAGAGGGTACCAGGCAGGCACACTGCGGCGTTTTCTTCGAAAAAATATGCAGAAATGAAAAACCACAATCGAAGCGTTAACCTAGGTATGCAAAACAAGGACGAGCGACAGGACAGGTGATTACCTGGGACTGAGGAGACAACAATGAAACGGGCAAATAAAACCCGTGCCAACTATAGACCAAAACTAGACAAACTCGCCAACTAGACAAAAAAGCGCCTAAGCCCCAACGAAACAAGACCACCCACCGCCATACCACACCAGACAACCACCCTTCCGTGCCAACTTCAGAGAGAAACGCCCTAGCCAAGCGAAACAACACATCCCACCGCCGTACTACACCCTTCCACACACCACACACACACACACCTCGATGTCGATGAGGTCCATCTTCTCACGGATGCACTGCATGGCAGCCTCCGTGCACAGGGCGGCGATGTCGGCTCCCACGAACCCGTGCGTCTCCCGGGCGATCGCCTCAGGGTCCACGTCGTCGTCGAGCTTCATGTTCCGCGTGTGGATGCGGAAGATCTCCAACCGACCTGCGGCCGGCCAAGTTTGAAAGAGAAAGAGGAGGGGGGGGAACCATCAGCGACAATCAAGGAAAAAAGGAGGTGTGAAAAATCAGCCACAGCAGTCCAGACAACGAGGGGGGAATCAGCGGCAGCCATTGCAAGATGGCCGACCCGTCATCCCGGAAGTAAAAGTTTCCCTGAAAAAAAAAGGGAGAGCACACAAAACACACATGCACGTACATCATGTTGTACGGGGGATGCTCTTTTAAGGTTGATCCCCGATTTTGGTGCAGTTGTGGAGGACACGCGGTTGGGTACTCGACTTGACCCTCGGCAGCACACAAACGCTGCAAACAAAATCGTCGAGAGCTCTTAAGGATGTACCTCATGCTCCACGTTAAGAGACAGGAGCATACGCAATGGCTTGCATCGCAAGGGCCTGCAGTACGTGCCCACGACTCACGACACATGCCCACGCACACGAACCCCACCCCCCCCAGCCAGAAAACACCAACCAAATAACTCACCGTTTTCGTCCGGCACACCGATGTCGATCTCGCGGTCGAAGCGTCCGAACCGACGGAGGGCGGGGTCCATAGAGTTAGGCCGGTTCGTCGCCCCGATCACAACCACCTGTTACACAATAACATCATACAGGCAAGTGATGAAAACAACAAACAATAAATAAATCAGCACAGGGGACGATGAAAAGATGGATGTGAAGCCATGCCGGCCGCGGGACTGTACGAAAGACACGTGTGGGTTCCGCATCACACACGGGCGCGGATCAGAAGCAATCATGTCGGTTTGTCCCTCTCTCAGATAGGTACACGCGGTCCTTCGACACATTCAACACACATAAACGTAGCCACCTATGCTACACACAAACCATTTATTAATTTCCTCGTTCTTTTGTCTCTTTTATGGCTCTCACCGATGCGCGGGCCTTGAGGCCGTCCATGAGGGTCAGCATCTGGGACACGATGCGCCGCTCCACCTCGCCGTTCGTCTTGTCGCGCTTGGGCGCGATCGAGTCGATCTCGTCGATGAAAATGATGGCCGGAGCGTTCTTCTCCGCCTGATTGTAGTAGAGTAAGTCGTTGGGTGGTTGAGGACGGGGGTGGGGGGGGGGTGTACTCATAGTCGTGCATGCCGTAGTCGTTTGACCATTGACCTCGCATCCCTACAAAGCCGGGACGGAGCACGCCGGGTTCTCACCGGACCAGGCTCTCACATCACCAAGCGCGAAGCGCCGTGAGGTATTTGGCGAGTCGCATGAAGGGTGAGCTGCATCCTGCTAAGGGTGTTCGGCATCTTGTGCTTACTTCCTTGCGTACGGATGACAGCTACGTATGACTTAATTTATTTTCTGGTGCTTTCACTTCCAGAGACAGTTGTAAGCACTGTGTAACTGCCTCGAGGGTGCTTGACCATTTTAACACAACGTGGTGCGATCATCCCCCGTTGCGCGGAGTGAGGGTTCTCGACCCCGCACAACATGATCTAGTAAAAAAAAAAAAAAACGGTAACCTGGTTGCCGAGTTCACGAAGTGATTTGGCTTGTTTTACAACGTCGTTGCCAAGCGACGAAAACCCAATTCCGATGGCAAACACCGAGTGGGGGGAGTGGGAGGGGGGGGTGAGAGGAGACAAGGACGCCAAACCAACCAACACAACCTCGTTCGACGTCAACCTTGTTCATTTAATAGCCGGACCGAGAAGGCAACAAAATTGACCAGAGCGAGAACATCTGTATTGTCCGCAAATTGATTTGCCCCTTAACGAGGCTGACACCATTTTCTGTCGATCAGCTCGGAAGGAGAGAGATAGAGATAGACATACCTCTTCGAAGGCTTTGCGGAGGTTGGACTCCGACTCTCCCGCCATCTTGGACATGATCTCCGGCCCGTTGATGAGGAAAAAGAAGGCGCCTGCTCCGCCACCAGTCCGTACCACCACATCGCCAACCGCAACGGCGCAAGACGGGAAAGGAACTGGGGTCAGCCACGCGAAGCAGCGGAAACCTCAGTGTACATAAAGCGGAAGGACAAACCCGAAAAAGACGGATCTGACGGCATCTACATATCCCCCACGAGCTAACCCGAGGACGGGCGGAAGGTGCGTTGAACATGAACACCCCAGCAGCAATGAAAGCAAAACTTTTGCACGGTCATGCATGCGCCCGCGAAATGCTGCAAACAAAGCCGAACACCGCAGGGGAGCCAGTAGGGTGGGTCCCTCCCGCCGTAAAGCAGGGTCGGGCAAAAAACAAAAGAACACCCCTTTTGACGTCAGTCGGACTTTGCGTGATGTGGAGGGCATGCAACGCCGGGAGAACTCAGGGGGTATATGCACGACGGATTACAACGTGTCGTTTCCGCAAAAGCATACACCCAGCGTATTCTACAGCACCGACATGATTGGGGGTGCACATAAGAGCCTACACGCAAAGGCAAAGGCAGGGTGTCGTTTCTGTTGACCTGTCTCGTTGGCGACGGCCTTGGCGATCAGCGTCTTTCCCGATCCGGGGGGGCCGTAGAGGAGAACACCGCGGGGGGGCTTGACGCCAAGGTTCTTGAAGAGCGTGGGGTGGCGAAGCGGGAGCTCGATCATCTCACGGATCTGAGCAAGAGACGCAGAAAGAGAGAGAGAGAGCGGGGGAGAAAAGAGAGACAGGGCGAAGGAACACTTGCGTGAGAAAATGAAAAAAACGGAAGACACAAGACGGGAAGCGGCAGCGTCTAATCTTTGGGACACGACATCGGCATTTCCAGCCTCGATCAACAAATGACAAAGCACCAACCGGGCAACTGCGAAAAGATAGCGACATATCGGAACGTGTGCGGGCGCCTGCACAACATAAACAAGCGCCGCCGCATCTATATCTACAAGTGTCGACACACATCCATCTGTGGTCCACCCTTAAAAAAAACGTACCTGGGCCATCTGCCTGCGGCAGCCCCCGATGTCGTCGTATCCCACATCGTCCATCCTCTCCTCGTCCTCGCGCTTGATCGGCTCCCCCTCGCAGTGGATGACCGTGTCGGGCGCCACGATGCAGTACGGGGCAGGGTCGCACTCCACCACCTTGAACTCTACCGGGTGCATCGCCTGAACGAACGAACCAACGGAAGCAACGAAGGGAGGTGTCGATAAAAAGAAGGTCGTCGACACGTGTGCAAACAAGGAGAGCAATTCGGCACACGCATTCCCGTTGTACAAACAGATTGCCCAGCCCAGGGAACTGTTTCAAGTGCTGATCTGAAGTTATTGGGAAGGAAACAACGACAATTAGAGGTTTTGAGCCCTAGGTTTCACAGTACGTTTCCAAGGTGAACAAGACAACCACAAAAACCGCGAAATAAACAACAGGGACATACTCTCCGGCCCATACGTATGTCCAACAGAATTTCGGGCGCCCGTGCCCAAGAATGGGCAACTACCCCAAATATAAAACTTCGGTTGACAGACATTCCGTCGCACACCATCGCAGCAACACTTTTGAAGCTAAATATGCCGGAGGAGGACTTGGCACCGCACCCACAACACGAACACCCAGGACAACCAGAGAGGAAGGCAGACAGATACGAAAGACAGTCACGCAGGCAGACGGATTGTAGAAATACAGACAGATTAATGAAATATTGATGAGGGACAGATTGACAAGACAGACCTGTCGCACGAGGAAGAGGTCACCCTTCTTCACGGGACGGTAGGCCTCTAGGAAGTACGGCTTCAGGTACACGTCGAACAGGTTTCCGGTAACACTATTTACCCATGACGATGACGATGACGGAACAACAATCGATAGCACGCACCCACCAAACAGCACCACCAAAAAGGAGGGGGACGGGAAGACAGAGCGCGCGGCGAGAGAGAGTGATGGCGTTGTATGGAGTTAGTTGGGCACGGCGATCTGCTTCCGTCTGTGACGGCTGCTAAATTGGGCACCGGCAGCCCTCCTGGACGACAAGAGAGCCAGGGCGAGCTGAACGTAGGCCGAACGCGAGAAACAACACAAAACATTGCAGCGAACCGACTCACTCAAACACGCCATTGAGAGAACCCCCTCCCCCCCGAAAAAACCGGCAGTTCGGTTGGAGACGGGCATGGCAGAGGGGGGGGGGGGGGCACGTGCCCCCGCGATGCCAGCTAGAACCAGAGCCAGCCACGACGGCAACACTCCACATTTCCTTTGTGTAAAACAAACAAACGACGACGCTTGAAGGACCGCACCGGGCAAGTGGCACACTACCGAAAACTTTAGCCCGCCGTCAGGGGGGACCCCAAGACTCCCACCACTCAAACGCCTGGGGCGATGATCCATACCGTCGGATGAACTTACCCCTCGATGGTGTCATCTACGGGAAGCACGTGCACGCGCTTGCCGTACGGCACGTCTCCGCAGGCCGAGACCGTGATCAGGTCGCCCAGCCGCACGCGCAGGTTCTTCCGCACAACCTGCAAGTGTGCATTCCCACCGACAACGGCACCGGAATGAATGTGAATAAACTCCTGAACACACCAACAAAAAAGATAAACCAGACCTGTTTCGTTGTCCGAGGAATCCAAGACCACGCTTTGGACATCATATGCATAGCAGGCGTTCATGTTCTCGGACGACCCACCCGCCCAAGCTCGCCGCGCGAGCGTCAATCTTGCATCGGCACGCACGTTGCTTCAGTTTCAACATGAGCCGATTTAACTAACAAAAGACAGTAGTAGAGTAGCACCCGGGGCATGGGTTTCGCATACCTTGTTCATGCGGATGCTCGAGTCGTCTACGGAGTCGTCGGCCAGCACGATGCAGACCGTGTCCCTGCTCTTCTTCCCCTTGATGAGGACCGTGTCCCCCCGGAAAAGTTGCAGCTCTTCCATCTGCGCGATATGCAAACGCAACACAAAAAGCACGGGAGACGAAGCCAGCGCGAGTACCCAGGGGGGGATGGTTCAGAAAACACAAACGAGAATAAGGCATTCACTCCAATCGCAGCGGTATCTCCAACGTCAAGAGGAGAGAAGCGAACAGCCCGAAAGCAACGCAGAACAACGTTGCGAAACAACTAGACCGGCGGGCTAGTCTCGGGCTGAGCTTCTCTTCGGTTGTTGTGACAAACCGATCACTTTTGAAACGCCATAATACAACGCAACTCCTGAGGCCTGTTATTCAGGCAGAGGTAGGCAGAGCAGGTGGCCTGGACCACGTTTGACCCCAAGCCAACCCCATTCAACCGCTGCGCCTCCGCCTCCGGATTGCTCTTTACTCTTTCGGTGTTTTCGCTGACCCTTCATTTGCGCCGATCAGCTCGAGGTGTGTCGCCGGTTGCCGTTGCCCCTCCTCCAAACACAACGCCATTCTAGGTACTGCTGCACCCGAATACACGATCCACTACCCCTCCCCCCCCACCCCGAGCAGCTCTTAACCAACCCGCTCGTCGAATGAGGGCAGCAGCAGCGAAAGCTCTTCACGAACTTGCAAACACGCCCCCCACAACAAAACAACCAACCCTGCCGCTGCTGCTGCCCGCACGTGGAATCCATCCATCCATCCGTACCTTCGCCGTTGAGAGCGCCACGACCGAGTTGTCATCCGAGGTTGCCTCGTCCACCACCATCCGGTTGGGCGAGCGCTTCTTGCTCGGGTCCAGGATGGCCGTGGCCGAATCCTTCTTTCTGCGAGTCCGTTTTTCGTACGTTCGGGGAGGAGGGGTGTGTGTCTTTTTGATGTGTGGTATTTTCAGCCCGTGGAGCAGAGGGAGAGGGAAAGAGCGGTGGGGTGAACACGGTGGAAGTCGCGCATGTAGACGCACTCCCTCTTTTTGGGGGCGCCGCGGAAATCATTGTCGGGGGCTGTTGATCAAACACGGGGTGAGTGTGTGGGGGGGTGATCGGAGCGCGGGAGGAACCTTCTTCGCACGCAGCTGCTGTGTGTACAACCCTGTTTCGTGTCCTGCTGCAGGCAGCACAACAAGACAGACCACCGGCTAAGCAAAGGAGCAAGACACTTGGGACAGCTATTTCCGAAACAAACACACACAGAGAGAAAGAGCATGCGTTCAGTCTTAGCGCCGAGTTAGTACTGTGCACACCGCTGTCTGCCGTGGAGGGCGAACCTGTGCCTGAGAGCCGTACAGTAATCAAGGGCCCTCCTGGGGAAAAAAACGGGTGAAGCTCCGCAGAGAAACTATGTTGTGGGTGCGGGTTAAAGATCGCTCACAGTAGAAAAGTTAGTGTCTTTGCCTCGGCACTGGGATCACAATCGAGCTGTTATTCACAAGCGCCTGCGTACATGGGGCGTGCAAAAATGCCATTCGTTGTGTCATATTAAGAAGAAAAAAAAAACGCCGAGTGCCGGCGGAGTACAGCAGTTCGACTCAAACCGCAGAGAGAGAGAGCGCAAAAACCTAATAATAGCGTGGCTGCTTGCAACAACCAAAGGGTCAACTGGGCGCGCGGCTCGGTTCTTGGTCGGCGAATTTGCCCGGAAAAATGTGATGCCATTCAGATGATGTAAAGGGAAGGACAGCGCGTTTTGCGCAGCGCTAGGAGCTAAGCCGGCCAGATAGCAAACGCTATGACATACGACTACAGTACTGCTGCCACACGAAAATACTTGCTGTTTATAAACAAGCTCGGGTTTTGTGAGCGGAATTCGGCGTCTCTTTCCCAAGAAAACGAAAAGCGTGAGTGAGGTGAAAGCAGCAGCAGCAGCAAACACCCTAGAAAACTTGTGCGAGAGACTTGGAGTAAATCCTTCACGAGCGTCCGCGCCAGATACTTGTTGCGCAACTATGCGAGCATCACCGGGGCAGAGCATAGCATAGCCGGCGCAGCTATTCCACGTGGCCAGGGCAAGAGAAGGGGGGCAAGCAAGACTCGGCAATATGGTCGCTCTAGGCGGGTTCCCAGCCCAAGAGAGCAAAGGCGGGCTAAATCGAGACCGAGAGAGGGGGGCATCATCCCTTGGGACGCTTGCACGCACACGTATACCTTGCTGGCCAGTCACTCTCGACAACGGTCTCGAACTGGTCTCTGTCTCGGTGACAAGGCCACCGCGGGGCTAGCTTTCTAGAACATGGCGCCCGCACACGGTAACACGGAAAAAGGGACATCAAACCAGCACAACCCCCATCAGCAGACAGCAGAGCCTCACGGCAACAACCTGGCCATTGCTCACCCTCCATCGTCTCCCATGATTCTTTCTTCTGTAGTACTCTTGTGCTGCACTCCCTGTCCTCTAGCGTCGCTTTGATCTATGCAAGCGTTGAGCCTGGTGTGCGTGTTTGACGTCGGGTGAGGGATGTGCTGTGTTCGGTGAACTCTCCTCAGTTTTGGCGAATTCTGTAGAGCGGAATGCGAACTCTCTATAATCAAGTCAAATAAAACGGCCCCCCTCCCCAGGGCCTTCCGATGACTCGAACTCCCATTTTGTAACGCCTGCTTTTTTTTTTCGAAAGAAGACCCGTCGACAAATGTAATGACCACGCTGGCGATCTTACAATCCGTCCGTTGTCACAATGCTTGCATATCTTGTCCACAACCTATGTCAGCACGCCTGACGTAGCAGTACGGACGATGATACCCAGAAGCGCAAGGGAAAGTGCGCGCACTTTGCCAAAGAGGTGGATAGAAGAGGAGTGGGGCATCCCCGTCGACAGCAGTACTGCTGCCCTTGCCGCTCATGGTAAACACCCCCTCGGTGCAATGCGGTGTGTGTGTGCGTTCGCGTATGATATATGCGCTTCGTTTTAAAGATCTTCGCTCTCTTATCAAATCAGAACACACAATCTTCAAGATTTATCCCGTATGTGTTGTATGTATAACAGTATGCTCTCGAACTGCTGCTGTTCCGTTGCCTACTGTATGTTCTTGAGACTACTGCATGCTGTTGTACAGCACAGTCCCGGTTGGTAACTGCGACATCAGCGTGTAGAACGAATCGGGTTTCTCCCATTTAACCGTATCATAGTTTGTATATCGTACAAGAGTAAATGTACCCAACGCCAGCATCATGTGCACTACATTGGCTGTGGAAGAGTGCCTTATTTCAGCATACCTTTTATCTGTTTTGTGAACACACGCGCACTTGTTTTTTTTGTGCTGGGTCATCGCTGGATGGAATATGATTGAGTACAGTGATTCCACAAGGGGTAGCCTTTCCTAAGTCTTACAAAGTAGGCTCATGACCAGGGTGGCCAGATGAACCAAAACCTGAACGTCTCACAGAGAGCATTCGAGTCCGTCCGTAACATTTCGAGTCCTAAGTATTTCTTGTTCAAACACAATGACAGGACATGGATCGACGGATTGCCTCCCCCTATCCCCACACGCATGCCTCCGCTGCGACATACTTTCGTTTGCGGAGCAGTCGGTTGGTGATCTAAGGATACGTGCAGCTTGCAGTCCGCCTACGTATCAAGAGTCGAGCTCTTGGACATGCTCACGGTTTTGTGGTTCAATGCCAAATATATGCAAACGACGTCTATACCACACCCACGAAAGACTCCCATCCATTACAACCGCAATGTGACCGCCCACCAAACCTACTACGCGCAGCCGACTCACCCTACATGCAAAACGGCGCAAACGGCAGATGGCCAGCCTCGGAAGCTCAGGCAACGGAGCGCTCCCTCGGCAAGGCGGAAGGTAAGGCCTGGTGCGGCTGGTCGTGCGATCGACTGGCTTTGACTTTGGCGGGAAAATCGTCCACTGAATGGTTGGGAACAGGTCAACCATCATCGTGGTCGTTGCCTTCTCTCTTCTTTGGATCTAGATGATCGCCAACGCAAGGAGTTCATTTTTATTTTCATCAACAGGAAACAATACTATGTGAGACGACAAGGTACAAATTATCAACCAACAATGAAAAAGCTATTGGTGACATATGTCTTGAACCTCGCAACGGTTCCGTCCTTGCCCCGCGCAGCATGCGTTCTGCGTGCGCCGCTTGCCAAATACCACGTCCTCACTACCTCCACTTTCCGTCACCTGCTGCGTTATTCAATCGCCAACACCACAAGGACAACATCGGTCTCGTTTATCACGCATACACTGGGCGTAGAGTGTCCCCCGGGCAGCAGCAGCAGCATCAAGGTCCGCTTCGCCGACGGCCATTGAGCGGGAAAACTACCGAGCGCGATGCCAGCGACGACTATGGAGGTATTCTAGATGTGAGTTGGGGAACTTGCGCGAAGGGAAAGGGGGGGGGGGGGGGGGACGGCTGTGGTGCAGCGGCACATAGGGCGAGGAACCCCCATACAAATTGCGTTATCGCGCTATACAGAGCACCAAAGGTCTCGGTCCACCAGGAACCTTGCAGGCCGCGTGCAGGGTTTCGTGGCTGACGTGAACGCCAGGCCCGCGAGAGGTGTGTTGAGCCTAAAGAAATCCGTGGACACAAGCCCAAAGAGTTGATAATTGACTTAGGTTTAATATGCCTCTTGCTTCGAAGTGCTTCAGTAGTTGAACACACATCCCACTCGAGACTGGACCACGAACTTCAGGGAGAAAGGATGAGAGGCGAGCGAGCTACCGTGAAGCACCCTGGCTTAAGCACCAAGCAAGACCCAGATGAAACACAAGCCGTGGACATCTTGTTCACGCAATTGGTTTTAGGTGCTCGGTGATCTAGCCCCGTTTGTTATTGTGTGAGAAAAAATGTACACGAGCACATACGTATGCCAAACAAAGACGCCGGGGTAACGGTGGGAGTTGGTAGTCGAGGTTTGGGAGCGACGGGAAGGAGTAGTGCACAAAGAGACACAGGCTACGAAGAGAACATCTGGAAGAACTCTTTCTCATGTCAGGCAATTTCTCTCTGTTTGTAACCCCCCGTCCACCGCCTCCCCCGGGTGACCTCCCCATAAACACTCCCCATGACATGCATTAGGACAGCTGGGGACGAGGAGGAGGGCCCCGCTTCGCCCGGAGGGGGGGAGGACCCCGATTGGAGCCGCCACGCCCTCCCAAGAGGCCGACAAGGCCGTGCTGGCCCACCCCCTCGGTGGAGGCTAGCGTGTTGCGCTACATCGAGACCGTTCGTGAAGAGAAGGTGATTCTTTCCTTACGCCGTCACGATTCAACAACAAAATCCATCGTCGGATCTACGGGTAAAACGTCGAGCAGCCAAGGCCAAAGCTTCGACGAAATCACATGGGTGCCGCTGGTTGGATGGCGGCAATTATTTGAGTTATAGGTTGCAATCCTGCTGTTTCTGCGTCATTTCAGGCCCAAGAGTTCCTAGCATGGACCTCTCGCCGATTATTGCGAAAAAAAATTCCGATGATGTTGACTTTGCTGGCTTTTTGCGGATCACTCTTGAGCGGAGACCGGAATATAATTCCGCTTTTTAGTCTCGCAGCGTTTCGCTTGAGCGAGAAGAAAACTGATAGTCAGTGACTAGGGCCATCGTGCCAGCAACGACAAGTGCTTCCGTCAGACTTTCTCCACGGTCGTCCCTTGTGGGGAAAACGGCCTGGCCATGTATCTCCTTCCGGCCTCCGGACCCGCAACCTCGGGATTTTTTGGTTCGGTTGTTCAATAGCAGAACAGAGTATGTTTGTTGTTGTTGTTGTTGTCTTCACATTCAAAACCGTTCCGATCTCTCTCTACCCAGTACTTCCGTATGTCCGTACTGATCCAACACTCGACGCGGTCGATTCCCGTGGTCACAGGTTAACTTACGCTAAAAAGGTACACTCAAATAAACTGGCCCCGAGGGGTCCGCAAGTCAATAGAGATCGACGACATATATTATTCTGGAATCCTCCACTCCCTCTGCGCGCTATGCGAGGTATCAACTGAGACTAGGAGTCACTATCTATCATGGGCCGGAGAGAAAGAGGTACACCCCCTTGGTTCAATCTTGGTACTTCACATCGCAAGCAGAGACAAGGCCATCTGGCACAGAAAAAGAGAGAAAAAAAGAGAGAAAAAGAGAGAAAAAGAGAGAAAAGAGAAACAAGAGAAAACATAAAAATGGAAACAGTAAGGAGAAGAGAAAATAAAATGAAAAAAAAATGAAAAAGGGCGAGGACAAAGAGGGACCAGGCCGAAAATAACAAGAAGTATGAGGCAGAACAAGGCACACGGTGGAGAGACCCCTAACGAACAAGCAAACACGCAAACATGGCCATCAACCAGCGATACATTGTGATGGTACGTCATCACTACTGGGGGGTTGGTGCAATGGTGCAGCGTTGGGGGGGGGGAATTGGCTAAAAGAAATTCAATTCGGCACGTATCGTGCCACTCGGTCCGTCTCTTCTCGTTTGCTTTCTTCCCTCGCCGTCTCGTCCGTCTCCTGCCCCCCTCCCGCCCCATTGGTTGTTGGCTTGTGGTTTCGTTTGAGCGCTCGTTGTCGGCTGGCCTCTTCTTCCTTCTCGTGCCAGGAGGTCATGAACCTCTCAGCTCCCTGCAGCACCGCCGCATGCCAGGGTACTCCCCCCTCCACCCTCGCGGCTTCCGTCCACCTTAACTTCGGTGCCGTGTCTTTCGGTACGGGAATTCCGAGACAACATGGATCGGTTGTCGTAGATCCGTGGTCGGCCCCGAATGCCTTCAGGTCGTCGAGCACACACTTCGGCCAGTTATGTTCCTGTCCCCCCCTACGTGGCTTCTCCCCCCCCGCCAGCTCGCCAAGCATCAGTCGTTTCGGGAGTCGCCCGTCCGGCTGCTTTGCCAGTGCTCCCGCGAACAGTAGGCGTCGTTGTCGGATCGTGGCTTCAACGCTCTGGCATTCGACCCTCTTCAGCTTCTGGGCGTACGAGAGCTGCCGGTAGGTGTCTTTCTTGCGCTTGTACCCGATAACTCGAAGGAGCAGTCGGTGGTGTGTCGACCGCAGCGCCTGATAGTGGCCGCTGAGTGGTGACCATGTCATGCAGCCGTACAGCAGTGCCTCCATCGCCTCCTGGAGGAGGCAGATCTTGAGTCGGAATGGCGTTTTCGGTCTGTCGAAGAGCTCCTGGCCATATCGCCTGAGGCACGCCCACGCTCCTCTGCTCCTGTAGCTGATCTCCCGGGTGAGGTCGCCATGTTCGTTGACGAGGCCACCGAGGTACCGGAACTCGGTCGTCTGGGGGTATTTCTGTCCCGCGGTTTCGATGGTCAGTGGTGGAGGCGGGGGGGGCTGCGATGTTGTAGTCGACTTGTCCTTCGCGCGCATCAGGAGCGTCTCCATTTTTTTTTCCGACACCGTTAGCCCGAAGAAGCCGAACACCTCAACGATGATGGTCATCATTCTCGCCAGTCCTTTTGCAGACCTCGATAGGACGCCGGCATCATCGGCATACAGCATCCCCCATACTGCCCTCCGTATTCGGTCAAGGGGTGTCTCCTCCCCCCCCCCCGCTTCCGTCTTCCCCTCCTCCAAGCACACCAGATTCCGCAGAACAACATCATCCTCGCTGAATCGGATAACGACGACCTCGAGGACCTCGGCGAAGAAGATGTTGAACAGCAGTGGGGATAGCACACATCCTTGTCGCACGCCCTGTGTGACGAAGAACCAGTCCGATAGTTCTCCGTCGTCCATGCGCACCCGGGCCCGCATTCCATCATGGAATTGGCGGATGACTTTGATTAGCTTCGCGGGAATCCCGGCCCTGGCCAGCACCTTCCATAGCATCTCTCGGTCCAACGAATCATACGCCTTCTTCAAGTCGACGAAGCACATGTAGAGCGGTATTTTCTTTCTCCGCCCCAGCTCCTGGAGGCGGCGCACGACGAACACCACTCCTGCGTGCGGCGTCTCCGCGGTTCCTCCCCTAGGGTCGTCCGCGCTGCTTCGAGGAGAGCATTGGTAAAGTCGGTCGCCAATTCCGCGGCGGTGGTTGTTCGCTCGTCCAGTCGTGTGTCGAGGTTGAGGAGAAACCGATTAGTCACCGCACACCGTGCTGCTTCGAACAGCAATTCCCGTCGGTTGAATTGTTGCTGTTTCGGTTTAGTCCGGACTGCACGGTTGTGGGCAAGCCTGCCACCGAGGTTGACGGTGGCTACTACCATGTTGTGGTCTGAGTCTGCTTTGACTGGGCGAACCGGCTGGGGGATGACAACCACGTTAGATACTCGGCCGTGATGTGCCTGCCTTGTCAGGATGTAGACAAGGCGCTTGCAATCGTTTCCCGACACACCGTTGTATGTGTGCATATTCCGCCCTTGCGTGTCTCGAAGAACGTGTTCGTGAGAGCAAGCCTGTTTTCCGTTACGAAATTCAACAGTAGCATGCCATTGTCGTTGAGCTCATCACGCCCGTACATTCCTATTACCCTTCCGTCCCCTCCGTCCAACCTATCTCCCGTCCGCGCGTTGGCATCCAATAGGACATACACGCATTCTTTGGAAGGGATCCTCCGCACGAGACTGTCAAGTTTTCCCCAGAACACGCGCTTGCTGTCGGCGGTTGAAGGTTCGGTTGGAGCATACGCGGTTACGAAGTTGACCGCTCCACGGTGGCCTGCCAACAGAAACCTCATGGCCATAAGGCGTTCGTCGATAAGCTCGGTAGTGAACGTGGATGTCTTGCACAGTGACTCCTTGACGGCTATCCCCACACCATGGACTCCACCAGTCTCCGTGCCACAGCAGAACACCCGGAAACCCGCTGCTGCAAATTCCGTTCGACCTGCCCTCCGTGTCTCCGGCATTCCTACCACCGATACGTCTTGTCTCGCTGCCTCGTGTAGAATGCTATAGACTCGCCCGTATCCATTGGCCCCGTTTACAGCCAAAGTCCGCACATTCCAGGTTGCTACCCTAAGAAGTTGACCCTGCTGTCTCTTTCGCGCGGCGCGCGCTGCTCTCTTAGTTAGCCTACGCGCCGCCCGACCCCTCCTTCTCCTCCATCTCCCCCTCTTTTTTTGTTTTTTTGCTATTTGTTTGCGAACACTCGGGCTAAGATGATAGTTACCCCGGTTCTTGCCTTGCTTCCCATAGATTTGTCTTCTTGTCCCGGAGCAGTGTGGCCCTCCATCTCTGGACTCTCTCCTTTCCTCTCTCTGGGGCATACCCCCACGGCGTGCGGTCACTCCGCCACCCTCACCGTGCTCTCTGCTGCTGCATAACCCCGGTGTCCAAGCCGGGGCGTTAGGATCCAGTCTCATTTTGCAGCTACAAAAGCTGGCGGTTCACGAGCTACCCCGATCTCACGACAGCAGTAACTCCCAACCGTCAAACTCAGGATCCCCCTCTCAACGGTGCTAGGGACCGTATATCTGTCTTTGCTGGGTGGTCTTTCGAGGTCTAGATTCACTTGCGGAACCTCGGCCTATCCCAGGGACGGGGGGGGCAGGCCGGGGAGATGGTTGGATGTTTAATAGGCGTGCAATGCCCCCCCCCCCTTCAACCTTTAAATCCTGCAACACCCCAACACGCGGCACTTTTCCTTCCAGGGGGATGGACTGGCGAGCGCGGTCCCAACGGTGTCTTGGCCGGAGCACGCGGAAATGGAGAAGGGGGATGTAGTCGTAACGGTGGAGCACTGCCATGGCTGCCACCGGCACCGGATGACGACGCGCCACGACCCTGAGGTGAAGGAAGAAGAGACGTTTCGCGTACGACAGCGCCGACAGTGCATTGTCTACACATCTCGAGACCCAAAGTGTCACGAGGGGAAGAAAACCATTGTCGCACTTGCTGGGCTGCTGAACGAGTCAATCCTTCGCTTCTGTGGGGAACACTCGGGAGCATAAGCATTGACACTGCTGTTTCTGGCTCCCTCTGAGACACCAGAACGTCCACCGGTAGACCTTACCCTGCCTCCTGGGTTCTTTTCCTCCGTCTTTGATGACCAAACAAATGTACAATACCTACGCGGGCAGCCTATTCAACCCTCGAACCCTTTACCCCTCTTTGGCATCGGCGATGCGATACGCTGTATAGGACAAGGCTTGTATGATGATGCTCCTCCTGCCGCATGCCGTCTTCTTTACGTGCCGTTCGATCCCAAGGTCTACCTTAGCCATGCGAACGCGGTCAAGGAACTCTTGATAGAGAGCCTGCGAGAGTTGCCGGTACGGCTAGCAGTCGTCCTCAAGAAATCCCCGCTCCGTTCCAGGACATTGTCCCCGGGGGGTGATGGCGGCGGTAGCGGTAGCGGCAGTGCAAGCGCGACCACGTTGCGGCGGCGGCGCGTAGGGGCGCTCGAGGTCCAGGTGATGTTGCATATCATCTTCCACGGCCCTCCCTCCGTTGCATTGCCAAACTTTCAGGGTATCCGTGTCATGCACCCAGTTCGTTCTCGGGCGGCTGTTTGCATCGCAACGAGTGGGGTTCAGCTGTTGGTTGTTGTCAGGAGGTACCAGCGCACAGTCGAAACCCTTGTGACATAAAACGTTTGCACGTCGCCGTGTTTAGGAACATTCGCACGCGATGCTCCACGGGACGTATGTAAGAAACATACGCATAAACACATCTCGTTGTCTTGTTTGAGATCCGTTCTTTCTGCATGGCTTACGGCGTGGCAGACGAGACCGAAATCACACCACAGCGAGCGTGTTGAAAAACACATGCAGGGAGAAGGTTGCGACGCAACCCCGAGGGGGGCCAATGTCCTCAACCTAAACACGTTGACGTGCTCGTACGGTTTAGAAGCCTACGTTCAAAGAGCGGTTGGATATGCTGTGTTTCTCCGTTGGGGTCACGCTTCAGAGAACCGTAAGGGCAACCGAAGGCAACGGCAGTCTTGAGGTTTGGACGTTAGGACCTATCGCATTACATCGGTTGAATCAATATTGCGAGGGCGCACAAGAGAAAAACGTCCTCAGCGTACGCCGTTCCGCTGCTTCGCAGGTGGCGGCGCGGCATCCGAACCGGGGTCACCTGCTTCACGCCCAGGTCATTCACTCTAAGCTCGCTTCTGGAAGGTGGCCTCGGCTGGGGACGAGTGTGTGCCTGCCCAACAGGTTGAGAAGGGCGCTGGAGTCTTGGGGGTTCGAGACGGACATGCGAGAGATCGACGGCAGAAGAAAACACGAAAACAGCACAGGTGACGCAGGGGTCGCGACGAAGACGAATCCAATCCAGACCCAAACGAGAAAAATGATGTGGTATATCGTTGAATTTTTCGTATTGCCAAGCACGTTTCCCTGCAGGAACTACTACGGTCTCTGTTTGGTGGGTGTTTCAACATGGACAATGCGACCGTTGAAGAAAAGAAGTGGGCACAATGTTCAATCCCATGACCATCGCCTCGTTTAGCAGATGGTGCGGGAGCTGATACTCCGTCGGCGCAACATCCACCGCGACCACGAGTCCGGATTCCGTGGGAGTTTGATCACCGAGATAGGATGCGTCGAGGGGACGAAGTCACAACCTCTCCTCATCAGGGCGCTAGAATTCCCGAGAAGAACGCCCACACCGATGGCTACAATGACAACAGCAAGAGCAGAGGTGGAGCGAGAACCACCGTAGCTACCGGCAAAGAGGTCGCGACGAACAATCACGACTCTCACGGCAGAGGCAGCAACAAACCCACCGCCTCCGGCGAGCACGGCAGCGAGACCGGAAACTACGGTGATAGGCGACGATCCGGCAGGAGCCCCGAACGCCCAGGGATGTCCACGACCACCCTTTCGGACAGGGGTATACGTCGGGATGACGGGTGCTCTCCTTCAAAAGGTCGAGAGACAGAGGGCACGGTGGCAGCCGGGGTGCTCGCGCAGGAGAATTCCTCGAAAGCCGCAGAGGTGGGTGAAGACTCTGACGCTGTGGTCGATGGTGTTGCTACTGCTCCTGGTGAGGGTGCAGATGGCAAATCGTCGCCCAGAACAAACCCGGCGATTACCACCACAACTATCGCTAGGCCGGAAATGCCCTCAAGCTTGGGGAGAAGAGAAGAGGGAAACGGGACAAATGAAAAGGCTATTGTGCATGAAGGTGTCCAACACAGCCAAACAGTCATTCCAGAGGCCGAGATACACTTCAGGGATGACAGTTTCGAGGCGGCTGTGCTCGAGGAACTTCTAGAAGATGGCAGTGCGGGAGGATCATCTTTTCATTCAAATGGACAGAAAGACGATCGGCGATCTAGTGACAGCAGAGGCTCTGCTAGTCGCATCGCGGCTGACAGCGGCTCTTGCAACAACAGAGACGACAAAACAAACAGCATCAGCGGCAAGCAGACGCCGGCATCAAGCATTACGGGAGAAACAAGACACCAGTTGGAGCCAGTACCTCGGACAGGGCAAGATTTCACTAGCGGTATTGTGCGGATATCTGAGCGCCCGAACAAAGCAGCGGAAGCAGCCGTGATGGACGATATTTCGGACACAGGTAGAAGCAACCCAGGGTCTCAGCCAACTGTGGAAGAGGCAACGACCCGCGGGGGCGGCACGAGAGAGGAACAAAATCTCTTTGTTGCAAATACCGTTAACGCCACCGACGATCTCGACTTTCATTGGGAGAGGGGCAGTCACTCTTCCTGCGACAGAAGCAGCGGTGACGACAGCACCACACATAATGACCCTTCTCGCAGCAGGACTGACGGCGCGGAATCACTTTTCAGATCGGCCATAGAGCCGCAAGATTATAGGACATCGCGCGGGGGCACTACTGGACCCGTTAGCCACGGCGACAGTATTGTGCAAAGCAGCAGCTCTAACAGCAACAGCAACAGCAACAGCAGCAACGGACATCGTGGACGGGCAGAGGCAGGAGTAGGAAGAGACGCGGTCGGTGGCCCAGTGCGAGCTGAGGAAGGGGGGAACGACATCTCCGCCGAGGAGGATGAATACGATGCTGATTTCGCTTCGCAGGTGAACACATGAGTACTTATTCACCACCACGTGGTAGACTTGTTACCAACAGTAGTTGAGCAAACTGATTAAGAAAACCTCTATGTGAACGGTATGATTGCATGCAGGATAAAATGCGCACACCGCACTGTTTTCGCAAACCGATGAGGGGACGAGTGTTCGACGGCGATTCCAGAAAGCCAATGGTGCCCTTCATTGACACATCGCAACCATGTACGCGATGGTTGGAGAGTTCATCATTACATATCCTTCGAGGGCCAACCTGATGTGTGTTGGAACACGTCTCGGACGGATCCCCTTTGCTACGTTTCGCGATGATTCTCAAGTGAATTGATTTCACTCTGAAAGTTTTTTGCAATCATCAACCTTCTCGCTGTCAACTGGCCCAAAAGACAAGGCTACAGTAGGAGATGTGAGCCACAATAACACCGATTACCGTAGACGACACAAGATAACACACCCACATAAGAATCCACACACCTCACAGAATACGACACCCCGGTGATGATTTTCGGCGTTTCCGACAAACCATCGATTTATCACCGGGGCTACATAAGATAACACACCCTGAGGTTACACCGCAGGCTTCTCCTTCTATCACCGGGGTGATACAACATCTGCCGCGTGGGCATGTGGGTATCTCACACACACAAAATCTGCGTAAACTCTCTTTTGGTCGTACCCAATAGCAAGGTATGCAGGAGCCTACTTTTTGTGTGAGGGGGCAGGACGGACGGCGCACTCTGTGGCCAACGAGTCATGTGCTCAGGAGTTTCGTCACCTCCGTTGAGCTCCATTGTTTTACCACATTCCGCAGAACCACAAAGCCATGAAATGCTGGTACAGGCACTGCTATCACACGCCCGCAATACCAACCAAGCGTGCGGCAGCAGCGGTTCAATTCTACAAGAAGTGTTATAACACCTTTTATCACACACCCTCACTATCACACCCCAAACACACCCTGTGGGTATTCGGACGTGCTAGTACACCCCATTACCCCCCTCATTTATCACACCAAACACACCCTGTGGGTGTTCGGACGTGCTATCACCACCCTGGTTTATCACATCCTCTTAAGGGCCCAAGCGAGCTGCACTTTATGTCCTGGGCTACATAAGATACCACACACCCCACAGGATACCACACCCGGTGAACTTACTTTTCAAGCCCAAAATGTTATCACCGGGGTGTGCTATCTTGTGTCGTCTACGGTATGTGCAACGGTTGTTTAGCGTTGCTGTGTTGCACGGCCCACGGCGAGAAGAAGAGCGAAGTAAACTTGGTGTGCCTCGCCGCGTTCACCCCGGTTACAAAATAGTGCACTTTCCAAAAGCAACTTCCCCTCGCACTGTACGTGGTATGGAAAACATAAGAGTACGCCCCCCCCCCCTCGTACTGTACCATCAGTCCAATGCTTTCGAGTTTTGCTCCCATGCGATTGGTTTCAAAGATATTACCTACTTTTTGTTGGACCCTGGTGTGAACCACTCGGTCCTGTTCAGGCGGAAGACTCGTTGGTCGAGGAAGTGGACGAGGATGCTGACGATGCTGCCCCAGGGCCGCCACCTTTCGTGGCGCCGAAAGCGATCGACAGCATCCACGAACACGATGAGGAGGAGTTTGAGGTAGGTCGGGTTCCCTGGTCCCTACGGGCCCGGAAAACATTGGCAAGCGACACAATGCCGCCCGGAAAAAATGCCAGTTGGAATTAAACCGGCAGGTGCACCTTCTACCGGGATCAGCACGATCGGATCGCACAATATTTTTTTGTCACAGTTGGCAACTGGTACGATTGGATTCGTCGTGAAATGTTGCATGGAAAGAATCTGTGAGTGGGTTCCCCTCGCTCTCCTTGTATTGTTATGGAAACACTGTGTAGAGAGCACATCTGGCCAGTGCGATCCGTAGCGGAGCACGAGACAGACAGGTGAAGTGGTCGTTCAATGGCGGTAGACGCCGTGAATCCAGTTAACAGACAGTTGAGGACTTGAAGGGTCACGCGCCGGCCTTTTCTGATTACCACCTTCACAATGGTCTGCCCTTCCCTTTGCGGTGCAGGATGCCGTTTGGGACCAAGACGAGGAGGAATGGGAGGAGGAGAAAAAGGAGGGGGAGGAGGAGGTGGAAGAGGAAGAGTACGGCGATGACTTTGACTCGTGACGTTGCGTGAAAGAGCTGTAGGGTTATTTTTGACGATGGCAAAGTTCTTGAGTTCTGACTTCAGGACAACCGCCAATACCCAGCGAAGATCAGAGAACTTGCCGATCCAAGATCACCTGCTGGGTAGGTAGATTTATTTCTACTCGGCGGCCGGGTGACATCCCATCTGATTTTGGCCTCATTGTCAGTTGAAGTCAACGCGTCAGCTTGCGTGCCAAAAAGCCGCGTGGATGTAGTTTGGATGTTGGTTCCGCCCATAGACTAGAACCTTCGTCCCAAGAGACGTTTCATGAATTCAACACGTGGGTCGTCCCCCAGGTCCAATTCTAAACGCGACCCGTTGGCCCTACTACGACCCACTCACGTTCGGCCCACGCAATTCGTCAGAGTCAATGCCCGTTATGAGTCGTTACCCTCCCCGATGGGCCATCAATTGGTTGTTGTTATCCGCTCATGTGCCATCATGGGTCCCCGTGGGCTGACGATAAGCTTCGAATACCGTATATGACACAAGATAACACACCCCCTTGGCCGATTTTCAAAGCTCGATTTCTCAACAGCAGGAAGAGTCACGGCGCCGAAAACGGCAGCGTTGGAATCGTCTCGTTGAGAAATTTTCGAAAATGTATCGTTTCGTTTGTGCATCCTCTTCGTCGTGGAGTAATCGAGCTTTGGAAATCGGTCCAGGGGGTGTGTTATCTTGTGTCATATACGGTATTGTCATCGTGCACGAGAACCCGTCGGATGTCCCAGGCCCGTCCATGGACTGCGCATGGGTTGCCATGGGTCGCGCATGGACTGCTCGTAGGTCGTCGTGGACCACCCATGGGCCTCATTGTGCGTCACTTATCGCCCATAGGGCGTTCGTTCATGACACGTGACTTCGGGTTCCGTGTGCTCTGATGTCTTAGCTATTATGCGTCTACTGTGGACGCACCGTGATGATTGACGTTGGCCAGCCCACGGAGCGGTCAATACTGGCCCATGGCCGGCCGACAACGGCCAATGGGCCGTGACAGCCTGTCACCGATCAACGGGCGTCTCATGGGCGTCCCATGGGCACCCGATGGCCGTGCCAAGAGTGACCCGTGGACTGTCCATTGGGCATCCTACGGCGCGTCCGATGGGCAGCCGGTGAAAGCTCATGGGCCTCCTTCGCATGTGTAAAAAACAAGAAAATCCAAAAATCTCTTGTCCAGGTGAAATGTGTGACCTGTGGTAGTGACTCACTGAGGCAAGCAACATACAACCGCCGCCAGTCCTCCCCATCCACAACCGTACCAAGCCAAACTACCCGGACGGACCCCTTTGCATATGATCAGTTGCGGTTGACCCTAAACGGATAACCTTATTTCTTCCCCCTGCCTCCCCTTTCCAAGCCCAAATTCGGAGTCCCGCCTCTCTTGCCCTCAGTTCACAGGCCGACGTTGTCAGTAAGCCGCGGAATCCAACTGCGAGAAATCTACTTCTAATTAATCGTTCTAGGGCGAAAATCCTGCCGACAGCACCATTCACGACACCAGCCAAATGTGAGCGTTCGGGTTGTCGGCCCACCTATCAGAACCGTATCAACAACAGCGGGCGGCGAAAAAGCCTGAACAACGGGAGTGCCTGAACAACGGGAGTGCCGCTTACAACAATTTTGGGGTATATCCCTTTTCCCGGTCTCTCTATTAGCGTTGCCCCCCAAAAGCTGTTCACTGACGAGGGGCAGTCTTCCTCTCTTGGCCATACCAAGGCTCTTCAAAACCTCTATACCCCGCACGGACGTTTAGAAAATCCCTTTCGCTAATGCTACAGAAGACACCAAGCCACACAGTTGCGAGGACGCCGTGCAAAAATCAGAAAAGGTACCACAGGTCGATCATCATTCCTCGCTCGAGGGGGGAAAGCGCTGTCGTCCATCTGCCTGTGGAAAGAGAGCCCAACTATTTTCGCCACCCCTCAATTCCGCTCCAGCAGTCGACACAGAGACGTCACGCATTTGCTCAAAGCGCTCGACTAGGTGAAGCGGAGAGATGGAGATAGGAAACAAAAAAAAAACGCCGCAACGCACGTCTAGCCGAGCGGACAGGATACCCCGCCTCCGGCCAAAGACAATATTTCGTTCTTTGACAGTAAGTGCTGGAGCATGTGTTTACTTTCCGAGCAGGGACGACAGCCCAACTTTTCCGGCCATCTCCAGAAGTGCCTCGGACAGCCCGGGAGATCTTTGCAGCACCGAATACAACGTAGGCCCCACCCCAAGGTTCCGCAGCTCTTCCGGGACTCCGCTGACGCCTGGGACTATCCTCGCTGTGCGCAGAAAATACGACATGGGATGATTTGCTTCAAGGGATAGTGTCAATGTGTTCCAGCTTGTTCTGGGGAGTGACAAGACATTTAACACCCTTCTCCATTCACCACCAAAATATGTTGCGGTCCAAAAGGTTGTAGGCTTTCAGGGCAGAACATGGTGCAGGCGGCTGAGCCCAATTGAGCCCAATTTCTTACACGCCACACTTAAAAAAAGAAAAAAATGAGCCTCGAAGTGAGAACACGTTTTTATTGGCGGGCCGGCACTTTCGAAACAGCACTCACCGATGTTGTCGTCAAGGACGGCCATGGGCCTGGAGGCTTCTGGCGACAGTAACGATCCCAGTCCCTGCGGCGCAAGAAAGAGAATACGACAATCGCCGGCGGGACGTTTCTCAAAGGGCGGGCGCAACGTAGACGCTGAGCAGGCTTTCTCCAGGGCAACATTCGTTGCCAAACGGCAAGTTTTTCGTCGTCGAGAAGTGCGTCGTCTCTCTGGGAGAGGGAACCTTCACACGGTCCGCGTGCAGCCACGGAAATGGGGGCAAAACCAGACGTCGGGCACAGGAGAAACACACGAAACAACTACAACACGGTGCAATTTGGCACACATCGGCGAAGACTGAGACTGGGACAGCGCAGAGACGAGCGGCACCACGACCATCAAAATTCAACACACGGCACTTCGAAGACGGCGGAGAGAACCCACCCCCCATGGCCCGAGAACCCCGGCACCGGTTTACAAAGGCACACACCTTGAGCAGCGCATCGCCCGCCGGGTCAGCGGGCGCGGTCTTGACCAGACCAAACAATCCCGACCCTCCAGAGACCCTGGAGAGAGAGCCAAGCTGCCCCAAAAACCCTGGCAACAAATGGCAACAGCAGCAATCACGAAACGACGGGGAAATCAAAACGTATGTCCGTACGAGAGCGAGATGGATCGATAGACATCGCGCCACGCGCCGGGGCGACCGCGTTCGAACGACGTCGGAGTGTTCAGGCATGGGTCCATGGCAGCGGGAGGTGGTTGTAATTTTCAATGCCGAACAAAAACGTGTGTTGCTCAATCAAGGATCGGCGGACGACAAAAAAACAGCGTTGGAGAAGAAGGGGGGGCATCGCTCGTGCATGAAGTGGAGGGAACTCTGACCGTAGGCAGCTCTTCATGCCTCTGGCGACTGACATCAAGGATATCTCGTCAGGTGGTGCTGAAACGTGCGCAATCACCTAGAGTAGTGGTCCTTGTACACGGCTTCATTTTGCCAAGGAATTTGGCCAGCCTTTTACCACCGGGCCCCCAGGACTGTTCAGAGCATGCAACCGGTTTAATGTTCCTTCTACGTCACGCCATTTCGCCGGCCTTACATAAGGGCGACCTGCCGCATTCAAACGGTCTTATGCCAACCCACTAGTGTGTCAGCATCACCTGTAAGCTTTGTCTCTCGCCCTTCGATTCCTAACACCGTGTCGTTGTTCGTTCTTGCCTATCTGTTGGTCACCTTTGCACAAGACATATTCTGGCTCATTCAACAAAAATATCAACCTCTGGTCCAAGATCTAGGTTGGGGAGAAATTGTACTACTGAGTTCGTTATTTCCCCAATAACTGTGTGTCTCTTCTTATTCTCTCCCGCACCTCCCGGCGACGGCTGCACGTTGATGACCCGAGTGAGCCTCTCCTTGCCGTCCTTCTCTCTCTTCTCGGCTTCCGCCCGCACCTCCCGCTCGGCCTCCTTCACCACCTAAGCAGCCAGCGCGGATGCCGTCGGCAGGGATAAAAATCAGTACATTCGAAATTGACGACATGGGAGGGGCGCAAGTAGGGAGGAGGGGTGGGAGCGAGGAGGTGAAAGGGAGATGGATCCCGTGTTTGCCGATGAGCACTCCTTCAGCAGCCAAGGGAGAAACGAGGGAGCGAGATAGGGAGAGAGGGAGAAAGAGAGAGGGGGAGAGAGAGAGAGAGAGAGAGAGAGAGTGCCCGGAACAACAAAAATGAACGAAAACGCCGGAAGCTGACAACAGAAAGAGAGCGAGAACCTCCATGGACTGAAGTTCAACTTTTCTACCATAGCAGGGAGGGTCCGCCAAAAGACGAACCACAACGATGGAGGAGCCCGTTCCAGACCACCGGAGACAGGTCCAAAGCACCATAACATTCCTTCAAACGTGTGGTATTGGGTTTTGTGCGCCCATGGATACAGATGTGTTTGACGTCGTACCTTCGCCTGCAGGTCCGAGTAATTTTCCGGGAAGGTTCCTAGCGGACCGAAGGGCACCTCCTCGTCCAAGTAGAGAATATCCGAGTCGGCCACACCCGTTCCTTCGCCGTCGTCCTTAGCTTTGTCGGCCTTAACGATTGCGCTCGAAGACGCCTCCTTATCGTCTTTCGGCAGTTCGGTGTTCTAGCACCACAGTCGCGTCGACCAAAGCCCAGGGTAGGAGGGGGAGGCGGGGCAGTGGCTTCATAGGTCTACCTCAGCAAAGAAGTGTGTTGTGGCCAAAGTCTTGCGGAAAATGAGGGTGACGAGGTTGCTAAAGGCTGGGCGCGGAGGATTGAACAACGCTTCGACAGCGGCACCCCCAACGACAACGGCATCGGCAACACCACCACCAACAGCAATGCCACTGAGGGTGACGATCGGTGGTTGATGACAACGACAGGTACAACTACAGTACAAACAAAACGGCAACAGTACCGCCACCACCACCAACCGGCAGGGGCTACGACAACACCGTCGGCAACCAAATACCTTGCTTTCCTTTGCCTCCTTTTTCTTCTGCTTCTTCTCTTCTTTGATGGCCTCCTTCATTTTTTTCGTTGCCATTGCTTTCAAGTCGACCATGTCTCGGCATATCTGCGCAGGAAAAGGGAGGACGTAAACGAAGAGAGGGCAGGGAGGGTCGACGCTTCGCAAGCCCGAACCTCCACGCTGCACACATGATGGATCGCATAAACGGTGGGCCATACTTGGAAAACACTCTATTGGCGAGCCGAACACGGCGCACTCTTTGTGCTCATTCTCTTGTACTGATTGGCAGGCATGCCTTGCAAACTGGAACCTCCCGGACGGCACGAGGAAGACTTTCGCAACTGCCTGGCGGAAGTATGCACTACGACCGCAACACCTCATGATCAGTGGCCAAGGGGTTCTCAACCCCGACATTTTCTTGCTAGCCCGGCTTTCGAAGGCTGTGGCCACACTGCAACGGCATACTGGATGATTCTAGCTGCTGGCCTCGCGCTCTGTAACCGCCAGGTGACTTCGTGCCGACACGGTTTCAGGCACGAATCAACAGGAGGATGGGGGGCGCTTCGTCCGAAGGCGGAAGGAATGCGGTGTAAGAGTGGGATGCACATGTGAACATGGGGCATCGATCAATTCAGTTACAAATATATCGCGCAGCAGGGCCTGAAACATCGACATACAGTGTGCCGGCATCGGTATGAGGCCACATTAGCAAAGACCGGTCGCAATGCATGTGGCCGGTGAAAGACAGGATGACGCAGATTACGGAACGTAAGATGACATATTTGCTACAAGCCAGGTGCTTGGTATTTTGCCGGCCAAATCCCTTGGTAAAAAAACCCGGCCAAACCAACTTCCATTCCCAATTCTGTTAGGTCTTGCCAACAGGTCTGACATGCCAACGGCGAGCTCGATGAAGGAGGACGAAGACGAGGAGGAGGTCCAGGAAACCGTTCCCACAATGCTCGAGTTTGCTTAACCTTCGGCCCCGATACCGAGTGCAACCATCAAGCTGTCCAAGCTTCGCCTACCGCCTTTGCAGAACCGAGAATAGCGAATGTCGGTGCGGAGCGCTCGGCAAAGATCATCTCGCAAACACAGCGAGCTCAGCGAACACAGCCTACATAATTCTGGCCAACCAAAATCCGGAAGGCAGGCAGAGTATTTTTCGCAGACAGTCAAGTCAAACCGCTCGACCCATACCTCGATAGCCTTGTCTAGCCCTCCGAGGTCGTCCACGAGCCCCTTTGGTCAGGAAAGAAGACCGTGGAATGACGAGTAAGGACAATAGGCGTAGCATGGTGTGCGACAGCGGACGCGCGCACATTGAGAAAATCAGGTGCCCTTCTTCGGTACTGCGAAGGGCGACGTTCATCAGTTCACGAAGAGTATAACATTTGGTGACTGACTCTCCAGCAAAACTCGAGCAAATCATTCCATCCGAGCATCTCGAGTGAATCGAATCCATGCTCGAAGTCATAATAAGTGATTTAAACTATTAATCATGATTCACTCTTGAGTTTTTACTTTTTCTTGAGTGAATAACATTTTCCAGACGAATTCACACGACACAAAATCCTTCGATGAAACAGACTTCGACTGAATTAACATTCGCTTTTGAGTGAATTGATAGCGCACCCTAAGGCTACGCGTACATCAACTTCAATACCAACGTGTCAATCACGGCTGAGTCGGCAAACGTGGTTCTTGTACAATGAAGACATGGAACGATCCGCAGGGGCGAACAACGAGCCAATCGCAGGGCGAGTGACGTGTGAATGTGAGAGAATCATCCGCGCACTCTTTAGTGAATCTTGAATGACGCTCGAGTGAAATGGTAAAATATCATTCACAAAAAGCAATCGAGCCGACCCCCGCAGGCGTATGCATTGAGACAAACGGGACTCTGTCTTGGGTACATACAAAACCAATAAACACCTCAAGAGTAAAAACATGTGACGCCTCTCGAGCGAATGTTTGATGTTTGTGCCCACCATTCGTGCTCTTGAGTGAATCTAGGTTTAAGTCTTGACAGTAGATCGTGCGTGCGCTCTACGTGCACAGATATTCAATTCCAAAGCCTCATGACGGCTGAGTTCAAACGTGGTTGACTGTTGTTATGTACGAAAGAAGCGAGCGACCCGCAGGCGCGCACAAAAGAGATAAACCACGGGGTAGACTTCACAAGAGGTTGACGACGACAAAGGTGGGTGAATTGTGAGTGAAATCGAGAGAGTGATTCGGGTATCCTTAGTGAATCGGGTTCACTCTAGATTCACTTGAATCAACATTCACTTTTGCCAACAATCACTCTGAAGTGAATTCCTAATAGCGCACCCCAAGCGCACATCACCTTCATTTTCAAGGATCGATCCCGTGTTGGCGAAAGTCGTTCACTGGTACAATCTCTAGGAATACTCATGACAGAACAAAGGCGAAACCTCGCGACGACAGTTCAAGTTCACCCCCCTCTCTGGCCGCAGCATGCTCTCTGCTCGTGTTTGAAACGGCAGACACTATAAGACCGCGAGGTCAGCAGCGCTAGCAATCTCGACGCTTCCTTGCGTGCGGATGACAGCTGTGTATGACATAAATTTAATTTTTGGTGCTTTCACCTCCAGAGCTTGGAGGGCGGAGAAAATCAGGCTAGGGCCTCGACGAAACCCAATGTCACTCGGTGTTGGCACGGAGCACCTCACACCCAGTTCACTCCCAGCGAGCCCACACACAACACTGGGGGCGTCATACGCACGGAGCGCTTGCACCGATACCAACACCGACGGAGGGAAGACTCACCAACTCTTTCGCCTCAGCCCCCGTCCAAACTCTCCCCTGCGCACGGCGCTGCATGTCTTCCAGCGGCATCCTGCGAGACTTGGCGGCCTTGCCCACAAAGTCGTTGTAACTCTGAAGGGAAGGGTGGCGGGAGGCGGGGAATCACGCATTAATGGAACTGTCGTGGGTGTCGGTAGACTGCAGATCATGGGCCCATCACAACAAGACGTCCCGAGGGAGAGGACACGCATTATCTCCAGTATTGGGTGTCGGAAGATTGCAGATCATGGACCCATTACCACGAAGACGTGGAAATCGATGTATGTGTGCGAAGATGCGCCGTACTCTCCTTCCGATGGGAGGCGCAACGCCCGTGAGAGCTCGTATATACAACGGACTAAACCGCCAAGGTGCTCAACCGACGACTAGTGAGCACAAGCGGGAGGGACCCACACAGAACGAAGACCCCCTTACGGGTCAATTCTGAACCTACACAGGCAAGTTCCTCAACCGTGCGGCGAAGCTTGCCCCCTTCGACATTAATCCAGCGCAAGGAAACAGTCGGAAGCCCATCGCATCCAACCAGCCTTGATACAAGAGGACTTGATCTCGCAGGCTGCGACAAAATATTCCGTTTTTCGGACCACAGCAGTGCGCCTCGGGTGGAAACGAAATACTTCTATGGCGGGGGCAAGCAACAAAAGCGACGGTGATGACAGTCGGGTAATCTCACCGCCATGGCGCCCCTCCCGAAGTACGCGTCCTCTTCGGCGGTGAAGCTCCTAGCCGAGAAAAGCTCCGCGTACTTGCCCTTGCTGATCAGCTCGGACGTGATGCCGATCTGGACGCAGCGGTGGGCGGGGGAGATTCCGGCAAGGGCACATCCGCCGTAGTCAGTCATAGTCGAGTCTGTCTTCCTCTGGTTTGGTGGTTTCGTTCAGCAGGAAAAACTGAATCGCCTATCGATAGAATACGGCCGCACTACGTAGGGCAACCGAAATCGTCATCGTCCCCATGCTGGTTGCGACAACTGCTGCAGCCAGCGGGAGCCTGTGTCACACAGTCGACCGAACCGAAAAGGCGGACATGCACATACATGCCTATAGGGTGCTGCACCCCTTACACATCAACATGGTGCCATACTCCCCACCCACCGTGCTTACTCCTCCAGGTCTAGAGTTCTCGAAGATGAACCCGTCACAATTGAACAATAGCACGAAGCTCGTTCATCGCGCGGCATCAAAGAGAAATTTTGTTCTTGACTACTGCAGCTAGAAGCATACAACCCCCTCGAAAACTCACCTTCTCAAGAAGCTCCCCAATCTTGAGCAGGGCCGACACAACCCCTATGCTGCCCGTGATGCTCAGTTCGTCGCAAACGATCCGCTCGCAGCCCATGGCGATGTAGTAGCCACCGCTCGCCGCAACGTCGGCAACGGAGGCCACAACCACCTTGCCGGACTCACGCAGCCGCCGCACCTTTTTCATCGACAACGAAACCGATATCGGGGTCTTGTATTGTCTGTTCCGTGCACGCGAGGTTATGCGCCATCATCAGCATAAGCTAAGGTGATTCGTGGTGGGCATTTCTGCGCTTCCATGTCTTGCGATTTGTAGAGTTTTTCGACCACAAGCCCAGGCGGGATTTCATTCCGAGGAACCGCTGGGTGAAAACCGAAACATCAACCATGGGAGGGGCGGCGAGAGGGGGACTTACCACAAACCAGACTTCGCGTCTAAAGGAGAGGAGCAAGAGAGGCCGGTGCGGCTGTACGTCGGACAAGCGACCCTCGCACCTTGCTCAAGCAGACACAAGCTACTACCTCATACACGCGGGGGTGGCCATTTCTCACCTCTCTCCACATCAGGTCTGACGCCGAGGCGTCGCCCCCCGGGGAGCTGACTCTAACCACCACGCCATCGATCTGCGGGTATGAAACGACCCCAGGAGAGAGAGAGAGAGAGAGAGAGAGAGAGAGAGAGAGAGAGAGAGAGAGAGAGAGAGCCGTGATGCGGCTGGATGGGCTGGGCAGCAACAATGCAACGCGAAACAACTACCAAAATGATCGCGACATGTGCGGCGCGCGTCATCCAGGAAGTTTGTCGTGAACTATCGCTGGAGTCACCCTCCAGGGGCACCGCGGGTTTCGAAAGGCTCCCGCGTATGAACGGGCGCCATTCGAACGACACTCTGCGTACTCACGCTTTTGTCGGCGATAATCGTCGACGCCATGTCCCTGAAGTTTGAGATTACCAGGTTGATCGCGCCTCCGGGGCTTGGGGCAGCCGAATTGACGATCGCTGCAAACCGGACAAAAGAAAACGACGGGTATTTTCACGAACAGCCGAGATAACATGGAGGACAAGACAGAGTCAAACATGCCGGAGAAACAGACGACCACAATGCGAACAACGCAGCAGCAGTAGGGGGGAGAAGCACAACAACCCTAGCGTCGCGACTGACGACAACAACACCCAACAACTCGCCGTGAGCAGCGGAGGAGGAGCAGCACATCAACAGCAGCAACAACAACAACACGTAAGAGACGATACCTCCTTGGGCGTTGAGAACGGCGATGGTCCTGTCTCCCTTCACTCCAGGCACACCTTCCACTTTATTTTTCTGTTTGAAAAAAAAAGGAAAACGCGGAAACAATTACCCACGGATCAAAACCAAGAAAGGAGGATTCATCTCTGAGAAGACGAATACGCGTGCTTGAGAGCGAAAGACGCCTAGGGCCTAGCAGACACCTCGGCCATGGGCGTGCCGTGTATTGAAGCTTGGACCCAGTGCTCGCTTTGCTGCCGGCTTGGGGGCAAACCGTCCATCGACTCACAGGCATCTCCCCGCTATCCCTCACGTGTGTGCAGGCTTAAAAGTGTCGTCTGGCACACGTCCAACTACGGAGCGAATCGCACAGAGGCTAATACCCCCTGTCTCAGCCAATGACCGGACACATCGGTACCACCCAGCGCAAGGTCTCTTCTGCTGTGTGTCTGTCTGTCTACCTCCACCCCGTTTTCTCCCTCTCCACCTCTCTCTACCCCCTCTGTCGTCCCTCACCCGGACTTTCTTGAGGTAGAGCGGTGCATCAACTATCATCTTGGGGGACTGCACTCCCAGCTTCAGCTTGCCCCCGTTCTTCACGTCTCTCCTGGCCCTCGACATCAACTTGCGCTTGTTGCTGATGGAATCAGTGACAACAAACGTTGCGTGTTAAAAACGTTGCACGAAAAGCACCACACACAGGCAATGAATGGTGTTCGTAAGTGCTCGTCCATACATGTTCGCCAGTCTAGCACCATCGCAGGAAAGGTGCGAAAGCGTGGACATAAGCCTTACGATTAATTACGGTTTGCAAAAAAAAAATCTCTATCCGGTCGGGGCTTACGCGGGAGCCTTGTTCAGCTCCCCCCCCTCGCCATTCCTCTAGCCTGCGGGGACACAGGCCCTCCGGGAGCAACCTAACATGAAGCAAACCGAACTCACGGCAACAACAGGAAAACTCAACAGGGGCCACCACACCGGCAATTTTGTCCGCAAATCGATCATCCGGAACGAAACTAGTAAAACACGGTGCCGACCCTCGTTTCCGCTGGCTGTTAAATTCGGTCGTGGTTGCAAGAACAACGAAGGGTGGCCTGGGACCATGACAATCGTTTGCTTGTCCTGGGGATCAGCGCGGACGGTGTGGAGGTGCTGGGCTAAGGCGAGGATGATTGGTTCAGGGGGAAGAACAAAAAAAAAAAAACCGACAACGCAGAAAACTGATTGCTTGCATAACCACTCCAAGAAAGAGGTTATATGGTTTCATATGCGTACACCTTTTACTCACCTGGCCATCTCACGAGTGAGCAGCTTGAGCATTTGGTCCTGGTAGTAGACGTCGTCGAGAAGCCCGAACTCTTTCAACATCTTCACGTCCAACGGAGTCTGCCGTGTGTTTTGGAAATACAAACACGGTGAGGAGAGAAATGACGGCGGTGCACAGGAGATCGACCGCAAGCACGGATTCAGGATACAGCCGGCGCACGCGAGCACCATCAACGTCGCCGTCAAATCTCTACCCGCCTACCGCGAGAGTCGGAGAGATAGTTCCCCCCGTGTTACGTTTTCTTATAGCGTATTTCTCCACAACTACGAGGCAACCGATACCTCTCAGGAAAACCGTCGACGAGATCTTTCCAAGACTACCCCGTTCGGCAGTGGTACTGGTACTTCCCTGGTCGGGGTGAATCACGCTACAAAAAAACGTCAACACGGGGGTGCCATCTCTCCGACAAATACGGTCGACAAACAAATGATGACCAGCAAATCACAACGGCACCTGAAAGACTGTTATTTAGCCGCACCGACGACACGACACAAAAAAATCAACACCGGGCACCCATGGCGACAAGCACGACAGACCAGCACCAGGATGCCAACAACAACAGCACCAACAGCATCAGCAGAAACACCAAAAAAAGGCAACGACGAGGGGATCTCCACGACGCCCGTCAAAAATATCATCGCCACCGCTAAAACCTGTGCCAAAGGCAAAGCTGGTTGCCCGGACCCACAATCTTCTCAGCCACCCAACAGTCAACGTGCTCTCCCGATTCTCTCCAGCGTTGATGACAATGAATCTTGCAGGTATCGGAAACAACACGCCCCCCCCCCACCGTACCAACACTGCCACTCACGTCGTTGTCGTAGAGCGCCTCGACCTCGGCCACGCTCTTCCCCGACGACCTCGCGAGAAGGCCGGTCTTGAAGCCGCTCACCGTCTCTAGCAGGTTCGTCGACACCTCGCGCTGGGCGGCGCTCATCGAGTCCCTCGAGTAGGCGTCCCCGAAGGTCTTGAACTCGCCGATCCGCTTGACGGCGGGCTCTACACCGAACTGTTTTCGGCATGGCGTGTGTGCGTGCGCCGCGACAAGGGTGCACAAAAAAGCGTGCAAGAGGGAGATTGTTTTCACGTGTCATTCTGTTCTACGGCAGCGTCCTTTGTAGCTTGACGTGTTATTGTGCGGTAAGCAAGCAGGCAGGATTGCGTCTACTTTACAAGGAGGACACAAGGGGGCACACGGATTGGAAGGCCAACAAACACCCACGCACTCACCAAACGCGCTCCCTTCTGCACAAAACTCAAAAGAGAACACACACAAACACACACAAACACCTCATCTATCGAAACAGCAGCACGCTGGGTCATCGCAATCACGTGATCTACACTCGACGACGACACTTACGTTTTCCAGCGCTTTTCGGAAGAACTGAGCCTCCGACGAAAAGCCGATGACGTTGCAATACGCCTCCTCCGTCGCGATGCGCTGAATCCGTAAACAGGTTAAACAGGTTCGAGGGAGGGAGGCAGAGAGCCAGGGCGGAGGGACGTTCAGAGTGCAGCACATTAGCCAGCCGGGCATTTTTCAAGTTGTTGCTTCCGTCCTCAAGGCATGGGACTATTGAACACGACTCCAGTCCCGGTCGGTGACAAAACAGGAGCACCTGCAACCCGCACAACGTCAAGGCCTGCTTGCCTTCAATTTTTGCGGCGTCGGTACACACCGCCTTTCGGGTGGCGCCTTCGGTATCACCGTATCCCGAGAGTTGAAAACGGGTACGTATGACTTCCAGATCGCCGCGACGAAACGCGGGGTGGGTGGGCGGGCTGTTTTGTTTCTAAACAACAAGTCGGGATGGCCCTGGGTCGTTCGGATGTCAGTCTCCAACGACGGAGCAAGGAAAACCAAGAACGAAGTCGCGCGAAGAGCCACAAACAGACGCAGATGGCCACCCGCACATCGAGCTGCAGTCGCCGCAGCTCTGAAGGTGCGCTGTACCATTCCAAGGGTTGAACGGTCAAACAACAGAGAAATCACAGGAACCGGGAAACGATGCACGATACGCATCACACACCCGGGTGCAGCCTCCCATGAGGCAGAGCAGGGTTAAGTCCACAGAGCTCTCGGTGAAACCCCACAGCGGCTTCCCGCTCTGGGTGAAGTAGTCCATCGCTCGCCGGACCTGGTCCGCAGCAACAGCAAGACAAAAATAACAAAAGTAAAAATGAAAGATAAAGCGAAAACGACACGAGAAATCACAAGTGAAACATGTCCAGTGACTTAGACGGTTGACGTGAGTATTCCTGGATGCTGCCAAACACGATGACCTACCGAGTGCACGCACAGCCAACAAGGATCTTCCTTTCAAACACGAAACCAAGGAAGACTACTGTACGACCACACAAGTTTTTGAGTGTCGCAAACCTCAACGTTTGCCAATTCCGACAGCAAAAAAATCACTTTTGTGGCGTTGAATATCGGTTTGCCGGCCGTCCGAGCAACATTAGTCGGTACATGCTTGCGGGCTGCCGTGTGATTAGAGGCGAACGTGGAGAGGGTGCAAGGCTCGAAGGCGCCAACGGTATGAGAGAGAAACAACCGATGTCGTCAATTGGTCCGCGTGCGAACCCAACACCAATCACGACGGAGAGCAGAAGAGTAAAAAAAAATCATATCTTCCGTCAAACCCCGCTCGGTCGATTGGCCCATTTCAGGCATGAGACGGGAGAAGCAAAATGCCAAACATTCTGATACATGCATTCGTTCTTTTCGACATGCCAAAAAACAAATAACCACTGGGCAACCAATAATCACACAACCTTCTCGCCGAACCTGCTCCAACTGGCAGGATTTACAGAAAGAGCGCTGAGGGCAGCGGGGTTCGTCAAGGACAGGGACAAGCCTCGGAAGGGAATGGGGTCGAAGAAGAAGGGTGTTCTATTAACACAAAACATTTGCGACCAGTTGCTACAAACAACGTCAAGTCGAAGATCAGCACGGGCAGAGGAAGGTGCAAGGCAGAGAGATCGGAACGGTTTTCACTGTCAAAGGCAGCAACACCAAAAGCCGACACGTTCATCGGGGGTACGGTTCGGAGGCAACCGCGTGCGCTGGGAACGGTGGCCTTGAGGTCGAAAACTCCACGGCACCACAGACCACAGACACAAGCGGTGCACTCCTTCGCCCTTCTTCACCTCCATAGTAGCGGCCATGCTCAGCGCCGGCCCGTCGAAGTCGATGACGACTGCCTTGATGCGGGGATCGTGCGCGGCCGTCTTGAGGGTCTTCACCAAGCCGAACAAGGTCAGCTCCGGCTCTTTGAACAGCTGGGGCTGCGAGGTGAGACCCAGCTATGGGCACCAAAACGCGAAGGGTACGTATGGTCACGAAGTTTCAAAGGAATGAACGGCGCGAGGGGGGGGTACTCACAGTCGTGCATGCCGTAGTCGTT